AAACCTTAAGACTTAATAAAAAAATTAGATATTTTGCATATGAAAGCATTGTAATGTTTACTGATAAACTGCTCAATTTCGTTGATATTTGGTAACTAGTTTAAAAGTTATAGCATGAAAATTATAACAAGCACAAAATGGTTATGAGGTCAATCCCAGGGACTGAGCCCTGGTTGAAAGAGTTAAATATAAACAGATATATACTATTTAGGATAAATAAATATAATTTGATGTTACAATCTGAAGTCATTCTAGAAAGAAAAAAGGTAATTTAGATTTATTTAAAATTTCATTTTTTGGTGGTTACAAGGTAGGTCAAATTGACAAACCTCATATAGACCTCGGGTAGAGAAAATAACAGCTGCAATATAAAGTTTTACTGAAAAAACATTTGAAATTTATTTGGAAGGTTTTAGAAATTACATAAATGAAATTTCAGATTTTTGAAATGATGAAAAGTATTTTAATCTTAACATGAAAATCACTTTGCACTCAGAGCAGTCAACACTTTGACTTCCATTATATTCATGGAGAAATTTTTAGTGAAAATACTTCATTAAAAATTCAAATTTTTTTTTGTCTACAAATAATTCTTAATGATTACTGAAAGCTTGCGAAATTTTGTGAACATAGTATAGAAACTATAAAGGTCAAGTTGGGGTCATAGGTTTGGCTGATTTAACCGAGTCCATGATTTAACCAAGAGAGTTAACAATTGTAAACACTTCAATCAGATCCTATCTAATTCTTTTTTTTTTTTTCAAGAAAAAACAATTTTGGTGATCTTAACCTGTCCTCGTATGACAAACTTTCATTCCAGGTATCATCCTGGTAGCTTTCCTCTAAACCCTTTCCAACAATTCAATGTCCTTCCTAATGTAAGAAACTTGAGACTGAATACAATACTCCAAATGGGGTGTAACCAGTGACATATACTTTGAAATTATAACCTGTTTAGAATTATATTCAATATTTCTGTAGATACAACCTAAAATCCTATTTGCCTTGCCACTAGCAACAGCACATTGCTTGGATGGCTTAATAGACTGATCAACCAGAAAATCAAGATCTTTTTTTTCTTTAACACTATTAAGGTTATTCCCATTTAAATTATGCTTATAATTCAAATTGTGTTATCCTACATGCACTACCTTGCACTTATAATTGAATGCCATCTGCCATTTATTCACACTTGTTTTGTAAAGTAGTATCATCCTTCTTACAGCTAGCATCACCCAAGATCTTAATATTATCAGCAAATTTAAATAATTTATTGACCATTCCATCATGTATGTCATTGATGTAAATCAAAAAGAGCAAAGTCCTAATACTAAACCCTGAGGTACCTCACTTGTGACATTAATTCAATTTGACTGAACTTCATTTATAACAACCCTTGCTTTCTCCTATCCAGTCAGTTTTCTGTCCAATGAACTAACCATATCCTGTGCATCTACAGAGATACCTTTTATAACTAGCCTTTTATTTAACACCTTGTCAAATGCTTTTTTAAAATATAGATACACCAAATTCACATCCCTACTATTATCTACATAAGTAGTAACCTCTTCAAAGAATGACAAAAGATTGCTGATAATAGGTAGGCTAACAACAATTTATAAATCATAAGGAAGAGTTTTATTGATGTTAGAACATACTACATGTTGGACAGAACATTGGTAGTATGTTCCACCATCAATAAAATTCTTCCTTATGCTTATAAATTGTTGTTAGCCTACCTATTTTTATATTAGTGTAATGTGCTTCCTTACTCAAGTAAAGATAAGTGAGGCAAGATTTCCATGCTGACCATCCAACAAAATTTTAAACTTTTTTAAATAACTTAAGTAACATTTTACATATAAGGCCACTTCTTCCTCTCATTTTGGTACTTTATTAAACATTCTATATTTAAACCCTGTATTTCCAAAGTTAATCAGCCATGCATGGATGACTTTATTTTTTTATAAAAAAGTAAAGCTGATTCAACAATTGTTAATAACCTTTGTATCACATATAAAAATGAATTTTTCACAAATTTTATTTTTTACATTAGTTGGGATTTTTATTTCATTTATTTTTAATCATGTACCAAGATCCTTTGGCTATGTTTTCTTAATTTCAAATTCTTTCATTTAAGGTTATGCCTAAGCTTTCACCAAATACTGAAGATGAAAACACAAAGAGAGACAAAAACTACCAGAAAGGTACACTACATTCCCACCTGCCTGAAGATCACCAAGATTTGCAATGTGGCTCAGGAATGGACATTATAGGAACAGATAGTAGACCAGTTAGCACCCACTGTGGTCTTACATCCTCCGCAGATATCCGACAGTCTGAACAAGAAGACTGGCTTATGTCAAACAGAGTTGTCAACAGTCGATGGCAGGTCAATAAAATATCAAATGAAAGAGGAGAGGCAGGAGTGCGACCTGAGGTTGTAGGTGACAACCAGAAAAGAAGTGGAGAAGACAAGGATTGTAGTTGGCCAATGGATGATTTTTCAGGTGAAATTGATCATTCTGTAGTCCGACCTGAGGTTGTAGGAAATAACCAGTCAGGAGGTGACAGTTTTGGCAGAGAAAGAAAACCAGAAGAAGTTAAAAATAGTCAGTGGGAGTTGGATGAGTTGTCAGCAGTTGGGGAGCACTCAGCTGCAAGACCAGATGGTTTGCGTAACAGCCACATAAGAGCTAGGAACGCTCACAGAAATAGATCAGAGGACACGAGAACCAATCAGTGGGTGCCTGAAAATTTGGTAGGTGTTGAGAAACAGGAAGCTGTTCGTCCTGAAGTGTTAGGAACTAGTCAGATAAGAAGAGAAAATAGAAAGCTAGCAGGAGACAAAAAGTATGGAGATAGTCAATATATTAGTGGGCAGGTTGAAACAGATATTTCTGGAAGAAGGTTCCCTGAGGACCAGCACTATGATGGTGGGTCTAAATCTTCGTCTCCTAAAAGGCCTTTATCAAGAAGTGGAGATCCTCGAGGACAGAATCGGCTTGAAGCTGAGCATCACAGATTGGAGTCCAGTTGTGATCGGCATGTTGACCGTAAAGATTTTGTAGAAAGAAAACGAGATTTTGATGATCGAAGATATCGAGAATATGATGATCGAGGCTATTACTATGGTGATAGAGATAGGTCTAGACCTTCTAGTCGTGTTTCTCATGCAGAATCTCTGGATGGGCGAGATCGTTATCGTGGCGATCGAGATTCAAGGTTTCCTTATTATTCAGATTACAATAGACCTTTATCTCGTGCCGAAACAGAGAGGCCACGCTACAGTGATTCACCAGCAGATTACGGACGGCATGATAGGAATGGCTACTACAGTAGAGTTCGAGAGCAGAGAGGTAAAAATCACGACAATTGTAATGAAAGCCTCCTTTTCAGTAGGCTGTATTTACATCTGTACATTCCCAAGATATGTAAAGTATGCAAATAATACTTGATGTTTGAAGATAAAAGCATGTAATCATTTTTGTAAAAAGGCAGCATTTGATTTTAAGCCAGATAATTCTCTGCCTTATGCAAAGAACAGTTATATTCTCACTTCAAAGCTCTCAAGTTAAATCTTTCAATGCTCTCTTTATTTGTTTTATTAACTAATAAGCATATCAGGGATATTCAGTATTTCCTGGAAGTTTTATACCTGTTTTTGATTACTTTGGTTATAAATGTTAAAGATACTTTTGGTCGAGTTCACATTATGTCGATACGCAATTTTTGATATCAATTTTGAGCTAAGTGTTTGTAGTTATATCCAGTTTTCTCTCTATCGTTTGATTTTTTTTTACATGCTTTTCTCTTTTATTTATGTAATTAGCTGAGATTGGAGTTAATTTCTATATTAACCATTATTCACCTGGCAGTGTTAATTTGTATCAAATGTAGTCAGTGGGTCAATTAAACAAGTATTAAAAAATCATATTATCAGCATAAAAATTTTTTTCAAGACCAAAGTCAGATGTAGCTATTAAAATCAGCTCAGTCACTAAGATAAATATTGTTGAGAATATGTGAAGCTTCTGTCTCTGAAAATGATTGAGAAAAACTTAGGAAATATTCAACTTGTTAAAAAACAGAAGAAGAAAAAAGCCTAGTAGTTTTGTAAGAAATACCCAACAAAATCTAATGCAAAGAAGTTATCAGCAAAGAAATAAAGAAAATTTGTGTTTAAATGTATTAAGATGAACCATTTGTTCACATGCAAAAATTGTGAAATCGGAGTTTGTTTTCAGGATAATAAAGATATGAATTTGTTTCACTATACATTTTTCTCTTTTTTTCCCTATAGGTTGATCGTTCACTTGTTAGAGATATACATCTATTTTTAATACCAATTGTGGAATGATGGATGTTCTTTTTTTATTTCATTTTTCTAAGATACAATTAGTGGTAATTATCAGAAGGCTAGAAAACTTTAAAATATTAAGAGATTCTACAAATAAATGTCAATAAATGATGCTTATCTCATAAAAAAAGTTTAACTATTCAGGTAACATTTTTTTAGTTTAATATGAAAGTAAATTTGACATTCCATACTTTATTTCTAATAATGTTTTTTTTTCTGTGCTAGAAATCGGCAATGAAAATATAGTCCTCAATCTAATACTTAAATATAATTTATGTTTTAGGAAGTGACTATGATTATTATCAGAGAGATCCATATTACTCCTACTATGACCCCTACAGATATGCATACAGCAGTTACAACTATGGTTTCTATGATGAACTATACCGAACAGACCCTCTGTAAGTGAATCTAGAAACAAATAAACAAAAATGTTTACTGTTTTTTTTAAAAGTTATTCTACTTGATATTTATTCTACATGTAGCACAGTAGCTTGTAAATGGTTTATAAGCACTGTAGCCATTAGAGCTGGTTGATTAACTTGGTTTATAAGCACTGTAGCCATTATAGCTGGTTGATTAACTTGATTATTCAATATATTTGATTACCTATGAACATCAGTTAATGTCACATAAAACAATTGATTCATCAAGGTTATAAGTAATTAATGACACAGTGGATTGATATTAGAATTTCTGATTATTACTACTTTTGATTAATTCAATTATCCTAGTAATCATGTTGCCATTATGATTTCTTATTATTTTCATTAATTCAAAGTTGTTCAGTTTAATTGGTTAGTATCTCAATTCACAAAAGTTACTCATCAAAATCAATGTTTTCAAATATTACTATTTTCATTTTGTGACACTATTGTTGATTATTCCAGCTATCCAAGTTTTGTATGAATAAACAGTTACTTGACTAATGAGCCTGAGAATTAATCAATCAGCAAATTCCACTTATTGTCAAACTTTTGTATTCTGTATGTTGCATTGTTGTTGAAATTATTAACATATTTCTTAAATTGAATTTATAATTGTTTGTGTTTGTTTCATTAAGTTTGATGAATTAGAATCTTATCTGAATATTCACTTTTTAATCAACTAATGTGGTATGTGTGCTATGGTGTAAATGTTGTTCAGTAGATCTGTTTTGTCCTGAAAGATACTGTTCTGAAAATGCTGATGTGGATGACATTTGACTCATAACTTTAATGTTAAAGTATATCACATAAATACTACCTTTAAGAAAATGAACTAATGTATGTATATAAGTGATGAATTAAAGAGAAAAAAAAAGAATCAAAATGATGTGTTACAGATACAGACAACAGATGGCAGATCGCTACAGGCAGTATTACGCTCAATTGGGTTATGATACATCAGAGTTTGATAGATTAAGTGTTCATTCAGGTCGGAGTTCAGTTAATGAAGAACTTAGAAAAGATTCTCAAAGGTCAGTATGTTATTTTATTATTTAAGTTCCAATTGAAATTTCTTTTGATCATTTCACATTAACCTAAAATGGAAACTTTATATTTTGGAGCTTTATAAGTTCACTGTTCAAATGATCAGATGACAAAATTTTGATTATGAACATATTTGTCAGTCCATCTGCTTGCCTACTACATATCTACATAGAATACGAGAATGTTTATTTATACAGCTTGCTGTTTTTAGGTGGAAAATACCAAAGTTAATTTAGCACTGCTATTGAAATGCTATTATAGCTGGTAATGAGTAATGACACCTTGAAGCTCATTTTTCAAATGATTAAAATCATGTTTTTACATAAGTTTCAACCAAAGGTAATTTTTAAACTTTCTGAGACAGTTGGACACTCAGATGCAAGTATTGTATTTTACTAAAAAAAAATATTTTTTGAAGTGTATTTGATGCAAAACAATTAGTTTTTATTGAGAACAGAAATTTTATATGACAGATTTTGAAACATGCACTGCATCATTTGTTGTTGTTTTTTCTTGATTCTGCATACATTGTCTTGTCAATCTCTGAGCTTCTATTTAAAAAAAACTTTGATATTACAAAGATTTTATTCTGTTGGATTAAATCAATTAGCAAAGTAATGGTGAAATTTTGTATTATACAGAGTGAAGCTATAAATAACAAGGCCTAAAAATATATTTTGATATATATATATATATATATGTATATTATATATATAT